AATCTTGGCTAATCCTAAGCAGGAGTTCATCTTCCTTCCTTCAAGAACGGTGGGGCCACGTTGATCTGGATTTTCAAATAAATGTGGAAGAGGATACAGATTAGATACAGAGTTGGAAGGGACCTTGGAGGTCATCTAGTCCAACCCCCTGCCGAAGCAGGAGACCCTACACCATTTCTGACAGGTGGCAGTCCGGTCTCTTCTTGAAAGCCTCCAGTGATGAAGCTCCCACAACTTCTGAAGGCAACTTCTGTTCCATGGGTTGACGGTTCTCACTGTCAGAAAAATTCCTCCTTATTTCCAGTTGAATTTCTCCTTGTTCAGTTTCCATCCATTATTCCTTCTCTGGCCTTCAGGTGCTTTGGAGAATAGCTTGACCCCCTTCCTCCTCTCTGGGGCAGCCCCTCCAATAATGGAAGATGCTCTCCTGTCTCCCCTGGTCCTTCCCTTCACTAGACCAGCCATGCCCAGTTCCTGCAACCATTCATTGTATGTTTTAGCCTCCAGTCCTCTAATCCTCTTGGTTGCTCTTCTCTGCACTCTTTTTAGAGCCTCAACATCTTTTTTACAGATTAACAGAGTTGGAAGGGACCTTATAGGTCATCTAGTCCAACCCCCACACAAGCAGGAAGAGCCTACACCATTTCTGACCAATGGCAGTCCAGTCTCTTCTTGAAAGCCTCCAGGGATGAAGCTCCCACAACTTCTGAAGGCAACTTCTCTTCCATCGGTTGATTGTTCTCTCACTGTCGGAAAATTTCTCCTTATTTCCAGGTTGAATCTCTCCTTGATCGGTTTCCATCCGTTATTCCTTGTCTGGCCTTCAGGTGCTTTGGAGAATAGTTTGACCCCCTTCCTCCTCTCTGTGGCAGCTCCTCAAATATCAGAGGACTGCTATCATGTCTCCCCTGGTCCTTCTCTTCACTAGACCAGCCATATGTTTTAAACATATGCTATAAAAGGATGCTTTAAAAGGGTGAAATTGGGGGTCCCTACCTCAAATAGGATAGGATAGGGGTGCCCAACCCCTATCCTTGCCAGGACCGGTCTAAGACCTGCCAAGAACCGGGCTATGCAACTAGCAAAGCCCCATTCGTGGATGTGCAGGATGCAGGCACTCCATGAACCCATGCCCTCCGTGGGTCACGGAAAAACTGCCCACCGTGGAACTGATCCCTGGCACCCAAAAATGTGGGGTCTGCTGGGCAAGGAGCCTGGAGGCTAAAACATGTGAAGAATGGCTGCAGGAATGGGTATAATCTAGTTTAATGAAGAGAAGGACCAGGGGAGACATGAAAGCAGTCTTCCAGTATTTGAGGGGCTGCCCCAAAGAAGAGGGGGTCCACCTATTCTCCAAAGCCCCTGAGGGCAGGACAAGAAGCAACTGGTGGAAACTCATCAAGGAGAGAAGCAATTTAGAACTAAGGAGAAATTTCCTGACAGAGAGAACAATTAATCAGTGGAACAACTTGCCACCAGAAGTTGTGGGTACTTCATTACTGGAGGTTTTTAAGAAGGGATTGGATAACTCTTTGTATGAAATGGTGTGGGGTCTCCTGCCTAAGTAGGGGGTTGGACTAGAAGATCTCCCAAGGTCCCTTCCAACTCTGTTATTCTGTTAAAAGCCTTTTCCTCTCCATGCATCAGTCCCCTGTTTCCAAAGATCAGCAGATGGTCTTCAAGGTGATGGCCCCAACCTCAGAGAGGTGTCATCCTGTATGGTCCCCTCTGCCCTCCTCCACTTGGCCCTCATGAAGGGGAGAAGTTATGGACCTGAGTCTTGGTGTGGAGGGATGTTTGTCCTTCGGCACGCTTGGCAACCAGGCCGGGTGTCTTCAATGTTAAGGATATTGTTGTTGTGTTACCAACCGGCAGAGTGTAGAGCCCAGAGAAACGTTGCTGAGAGCAATGAATCAGAGATGTGCAAACTGGTTTATCAAAAGTTTACTTTATAGTGAAAAAAACAATCTCATAGTCTTTAAACCAATCCAAGTCTTTGCCAGTTAAATCAGTCCAGTGATACAGAAATTCTTCTTACCACACAAACAGTAGTTGGTTAGAATAACAAACTCACTCTGGTTCACAAACCACGATGGTAGCAGATCCATCCAACCGATGATAGCACAATGATAGCAACTCACACACAATGGTAGCATATCATCGACTGAATACATTACAGTACCTTTCTTAAATACGTTCACAACTAATTACAGCATGACTCAGCATTACAACGAAGTTCTGGAGGGGGTGCCAGTTTTGGAAAGCAGGAGGTTGGGTTGGCAGACATGGCTTTGGGTGTCGGCCTGTGGCTTCCCACGCACCATTTTGGCCCTGCACGAACGACACTTGTAGTGAAGCATCAGGGTGATGCCCGGAGCGGCTGTGAGCCTTCACCGGCCGTGCCAGCATCCAGGGGTTCCGACGTCCTTTGGATGGTCATAACCAGACTTTCTTTGTGTGTCTGTGTGTTATGCCCATCAATAATGTTGTGGCAGAAGCTTTTGGGGAACTGAGTCAGGATTGAGAAACGATTTGGGAAGAAGGACGTTCGGAGTGAGGGGCTCTGGGCCGGAGGAGGGAAAGATGGCTGCCGTTTTTATTAGTCTGGATTTTAATCCTGTACAATTTTTATATGTTTATAACGGTGGTTATATTTCTATAGTTTTATTATATTGTAAGCCGCCCACTTTGAACACTGAGATGGGGGGCATATAGAGGGAGGGAGGGAGGGAGGAAAGTTTTAATGTAGAAGGAAGGAAAAAATACCGATTTTGAGGGAGAGAGGGAAGGAAGGAAGGCTTTAATGTAGAAAGAAGGAAAAATACTGATTTTGAGGGAGGAAAGGAAGGAAAGTTTTAATGTAGAAAGAATGAAAAATACTGATTTTGAGGGAGGAAAGGAAGGAAAGTTTTAATGTAGAAGGAAGGAAAAAATACCGATTTTGAGGGAGAGAGGGAAGGAAGGAAGGAAGGAAGGAAGGAAGGAAGGAAGGAAGGAAGGAAGGAAGGTTTTAATGTAGAAGGAAGGAAAAAATACTGATTTTGAGGGAGAGAGGGAAGGAAGGAAGGAAAGTTAATGTAGAAGGAAGGAAAAAATACTGATTTTGAGGGAAGGAAGGAAGGAAGGAAGACTAATGTAGAAAGAAGGAAAAAATACTGATTTTGAGGGAAGGAAGGAAGGAATGCTTTAATGTAGAAGGCAGGGGAAAATACTGATTTTGAGGGAGGGAAGGAAGGAAGGAAACTTAATGTAGAAGGAAGGAAAAAATACTGATTTTGAGGGAGGAAAGGAAGGAAGGAAACTTAATGTAGAAGGAAGGAAAAAATACTGATTTTGAGGGAGGAAAGGAAGGAAAGTTTTAATGTAGAAGGAAGGAAAAAATACTGACTTGGACGGAGGGAGGGAAGAAACGAAGGAAAAAAAGAGAGAAAGAGAGACACCAAGGGCTGTGAAATCAGACCCTGGGGGTGGGATATTGGAACTCTTGGGGGGGGGAGGCAGAAAATCCGGAGGGTCTTGGCATGCTGACCCATCCTTGCTGAGGCGGGAAGACGTCTCAGAAGGACAGAACTGGGCACCCAATAGCACCCCTTGCCTTGAACTAAACCTGAAAGAAATCCCACCCACCCATTTTTAAGATGGCGACTCGGACAGGTATGATTTCCGCCAGGTCCGAACGGAAGGAATGGGGAAAGCGCCATAACTTTAGTGGCAGGTTTCCTGTTTAGGTGCAACCACTTATTTTTTTATATATATACATTTTGGCTGCCTCGGCGCTTCAGCAGAACAGCTGTCCACCCCCTCCCCAATGTCCAGCATGATTTTGGTTTTTAAAAAACAAAAAGCCCTTTTCCGTCATTGCCAAACGGGAAACATGGCGTCCCTTTAAAATTTATTCCCTTTATTGCACGCTCCTGTCATCCAATCACCGGAGTTCTCTCTGGGCAAACGTTGAGATAAATTAAAAACATAAAATACCGCAAGCCGCAAACGATAAAAGGGGGGGGGAGAGAAAACCCCCCAGCAGCCGCAGCAGCCGTGAAAAGCGAGCAAAATCCCCAAGAAAATGGAGCTTTTCTTGGAAAGCGCAACCGGGTTTCTCGGGCTGCTTTGAAGCGACGACGGCAGGGACGTCGCTAGGCGAGGCTCTCCGGGGAGACCCTGTCAGGATGGAGCCTTGCTCCAAAAACTGCTCCTTCCCTCGAGGACTTTTCTGTCAGCTCGCACTCGCTGCGAAACCAAGATAAAACGACAGTCAGTTTGGGTTGGTGGTTAAGGCACAAGGCGAGACACCGGGAGACTGGGAGTTCTAGTCCAGCCTTAGCACGAAAGCTGGTTGGGTGATTGTGGGCCAATCACCAGGAGACAGTGAGTTCTAGTCCAGCCTTAGGCATGAAAGGTGGCTGGGTGACTTTGGGCCAATCACCAGGAGACAGTAAGTTCTAATCCCGCCTTAAATATCAAAGCCGGTTGGCTGACTTTGAGCCAGTCACTAGGAGACGGTGAGTTCTAGTTCTGCCGTAGCCATGAAAGCCAACTGGGTAAATTTGGTTAAGTGCCTTTGGGCCAATCACCAGGAAATGGTGAGTTCTAATCGCGCCTTAAATATCAAAGCCGGCTGGCTGACTTTTGGCCAGTCACTAGGAGACGGTGAGTTCTAGTCCCACTTTAGGCATGAAAGCCAGTCTTTCTCGACCTTGGTGACCCAGGCTGGCTGGGGAATTCTGGGAGTTGAAGTCCGCACCTCTTAAAAGCTCCTGAGATGGAGAAGGGAAGCCAGAATGAAGGGTGGAGATCCTGCATGGACTGAATACAGTTTGAAGGTACCCAAGTGAGATGCTTCGGTGTCCATTCCTGCACCATTAACTCGTGTGTGTGTGTGTGTGTGTACCTGGGGGTTGGACTAGAAGACCTCCGAGGTCCCTTCCAACCCTCTTAACTCTCTCTTTCGTGTTTAAGCACCCGGCCTCACCGTCCTTTCCTCTTCCTCTTCCTCGCAGGAGCGTTTTGTGGATCTCTACGGGAACGACGCGGCCGCCAAGAGCCGGAAGGGCCAGGAGCGCTTCAACAAGTGGCTGTGGACGGGGGCGACCGTAGCCGGCGTGGTTCTCCTGGGCTCCCTCCTGAGCCGCAAATAGCTAAGAGACTGACCGACTGACCAACCGCCCATCTCGGCCGCCCGGCCCTACTCCAGCACTCTGCCCTCGGCCTCGTAATCATTCCAAGGGGGTGGGGAGGAAGGGGCCCCCCTCCCTCCAAGCAACTCACAGACCTCTTCCTGGTGCCTCCTGCCACCTCCTCGCCTCCCCCCCCCAAAAAAAAGACCCACAGTCTCTGGCTGTCCGTACGCAGACCCCTGGCTGGGGGCCTCCAACCCCCCCCCCCCCGACACACACATACACACCAATCCTCAAGGCCTCCCCCCTCCCCTTTCCATTTCAAGGAGCCACTTCTGCAAATTGCAAATTAATGTCGTTAAAGCTTCTCCTTGCCTTGTTCCTCAACGGACCCATCTCCCCCTCCCCCCCGGGGGAGAAGGGGGGGAGGTATTTGCTTTGGGGAGGAGCTGCTCCACCTCACCCACCCCACCCAGAAGGATTTGACGAGTGAGACAATGCCTGCCTCCTTCTCCCATCCGCCGTTAAGTGAACCTCGGACTTTCCTTAACGGCTCTCTTTGACAACTACATTTTGACAACTACCGGAACCCCCTTGACAACTACACAGCCTATGCTCCTGGGACCGCAGGGGAGAGGGACGCCTTCCAGTGTGTGTGTGTTTCCACAGCTTTTGCCAGGAGGGGTACAAGGCACACACGGCCTCACAAAGCACGGCCTCCCGATATTGTTGCGTGGCGGTGCCGGAGGGCTGTCCTAATAGCTAGTCAATTCGGGGAGGGGGGCAAAGCTGCCCCTCCCAGCTCTTGAGTAGCAGGGGCAGGGTAGCTGGTGAGGAAGGGATGCCAGCTTCCCCTTGCCTTGCAAAACCCGGCAGGTCTGCTCAGCCTCCCTGGCTTTGGCCCCCTACTCAGTTATGGGTCCCGCTGTGCCAAGGACGGCGGCTGGGTGCCCCAGAACAGCCGTGGCTCAGACCCCTTAAAGCAGACAAACCCCCTTCCTCAAAAAATGCCCTGGGAAGGAATCCTGGATTCTCCAGCGCTGGGGGTGGGGGGGAGCCTCGTTGGAGGCCTTCCCCCTCCCCATCTGGCTGCGGGGTGGGGGAAGGGAAGGAGGGAGAGCAGGCGCAAGATGTGGGAGGGGGGGGTCGGAGGGGGGCACGGTGCCTTCTCTGCTTCGAGAAGGTGTTTATCATCAGCTGCTAATTGCAAGCCGGGCCCTCCGGGGACCCTCCTTGGCGTTTGCCCAAAGATATTCCAGGAAGAGCGGGCATTGGGCGGGCCCTTCGGTGGTGGTGGTGGTGGGGATGAGGAGAAGGGGAGGGGTGCCCTATGCCTGGGGCGTGGGGGAAAGGCGTGGGGGCAGGACCAGGCAAGCGGGGGGGGGCGTTTCTGAGGCTCCGAGGAGCAAGGCAGGGCGGGGGTCAGGATCTTAGCTGTTGTTTGGGGAGGTGGGGAGGGGGCTTCACTTCTCTTGAGGTTTGCCTGCAAGTGTTAGGTCAATGGACAGAGTCAGGGAGGGGGTCTGAAGATTTGGGGAGGGGGTAGCAGGTGTGTGGGAGGGACAGGAGAAGGGGGATAGGGCAGGTGGAACTGGGGGGGCGGGCAAGCGAGAGAGACGGGGGTCTGGATCTCCCTTGGGCTCTGCAGCAGCCTAGGGCACGGGGCATTTTGGGGAGGGGGTGTCTTTTTCATCCACCGCAGCACGATAAGCCCCTATCCGGGTCTTGGGGAAGGGGTCTTTCCCTGCGAGGTAGCATGATGGAGCCCCTCGCCCTTCGGAGAGCCCAGCCTTCCTCAGCAAGGGGCTCCATCCCACCCACTCACTCCCCCCCCTGCAGATTCAAATGACCTTCCCTGTCCCCCCCTCCCCCGCCCTAGCCTGCCCCTCCCCACAGAAAAAGCCCAGGGCCCCCCTTGCAGCTTGCCTGCCCCCCTCCCCGAAGAGACACGACGAGATCAGCTGTATATATTGAAGACTAGTTTTTATTCAGTTGTGAATACAATAATACTATTTTTGTTAACCGTATGTCTGTATTTATGTGTTTTGGCTGTGCTTGCCCTCCCTCTCCGAGCCCCCCCCCACCCGCTGTGCCCCATTTAACCCCCTCCCCTACCCCCTTTTTCGATTGCAAAGGCAGCCTATCAGGTGAGGGGTGGTGGGCTCCCCCAGCTCTCGCCCCCTGCCCCCCTTTTTTCCCAGTCCTTGTTGTCCAGGCCTCCGACGACCCCCTTATTAGAGAAGAGAAGAAAAAAAAAAAAAAGATGAAGGTGAATTTGAAGACAGATAATAAAACATGTGGTGTTTGAGCCGAGCTTCCTGTCTGGTTCTTGGGTCCTTTTTTTCCTAGGCGGGTGGTGGGCTCCCCTTGGCAAAAACCGGCTTCACAGGTAAATGGCCAGAGCCAGAAGGAGAGACTGGGAAGGCACCCTGGAGGTCTTCTAGTCCAACCCCCTACCATTTCAGCCAGACCCACCCAGCAGGGTTGACCAAGAGTTATGTCAGACTGCGGTACCGTCTCAAAATTAAAGGAATCTCCAAACTGCCAATCTTTAAGGAAATCTTTCTTTAATTGAGCTCAGCCACCGGATCATGACTCCGCGTGGACAAGACTGACCTTTTGCCTCCCAATCCCTCCCTTTCCGACCCCCAAGTCTCTGCTTCTCATTGGCTGTCTTCCAAGTCATTCTTCAGACTTCTTTTCCCCGTCATTTCTCAGGAATGTGCCCCCCTCCCCTGATCTCCACGACAGCCAAGCTTCAAAGGGATTTTGCAGGCAAAAGTTTCAGAGTTTATCTTTCGCTGTCCTCTGCTCTCTCTATGCCAGTGTTGCAATGGGGCATTCTGGGAGTTGAAGTCCGCCAGGCTTAAAGCGGCCAAGCTTGGAGACCCCTGCTATAGACTGACTTTCCCTGGGGACCATCCATCCGACCAGGAAGAGGAGGGGAGGCGGGGTGTGTTAACGGGTGCCCCCTTTTTAAGGAGGTCCATCTGAAGGGCCTTCTCCGTGGTGGCTCCCCCCTTGTGGAACAGGAAGTTCCTCCGCGAGGGAGATGGGGTTTCTAAATACAATAGATCAGGGGTCCCGAAACCCCACCACCACCCGTCCATGGACCGGCCACAGGGCCACGGCATGCCCGCAACCGGGCCACACAGACGAGGGAAGCCCCGTCCACAGGATGCAGGCAGCGCACAAGACCACGTCCCCTACCAGTCCATGGAAAAAAACCTCAATCCACGGATCCAGTCCCCGGGGCCCGAAAGGTTGGGGGCCACTCTGCTAGATAGATGAGAGGGAGGGAGAGACAGACAGACGGGTGATAGAAATTGATTGATGATAAACAGGTAGGCAGATTAGATAGATACAGGTAAAAATAGATGATTGGGTGGATGGATGGATAGAGATAGATAGATACACAGTAGTGGCCAAAATTGTGGAAACTTTTTGAGAAAGTTTTTTTGAGGTTTGATGGTTAATAACACCACTTCTTTTTTGGCGTTTCAAGATAATCCTGTTCCACTGCTGGAATGGCCTGGGAATAGCCCAGACCTTCACCCAATTGGAAATCTATGGAGCCGACTAAAGAAACTGGTTAGTCAGAAGCGACCCAGCAATAAAACCCAGTTAATAGAAGCCATCATTCAATCTTGGCTTCACATGATAACAGCTGCGGAACTAAAAGACTTGGTTCACTCCATGGGAAGATGTTATAAGGCCATAATTCATGCTAAAGGTTACCCAACTATTAACTGACATAGTGATAATATTTGTATATCTCATTTTTTCTACATGTTTCACTTTTCTTCTTTCTACTGTCAACTGCTATTCTAATAGCAAATCCTTCATAAAAGGTATTGCATTACATTCTTGATTAAATTATATTATGCATTGTATATCTCGTTTTTTCTATGGTGATCATTTTGGTATATCTCATTTTTTCTACGTGTTTCACTTTTCTTCTTTCTACTGTTAACTGCTATTCTAACAGCAAATCCTTCATAAAAGGTATTGCATTACATTCTTGATTAAATTATCTTTCCATTGATATATAATTTTATGGTACTACTCCAAAAAAAAAAAAGTGGTGTTATTAGCTGGTTTTAGAAAATACACTTTTCGCAAAAAAGTTTCCACAATTTTGGCCACTTACTGTAGTTATAGGTAAAAATAGATGATTGGATGGATGGATGGATGGATGGATGGATGGATGGATGGATGGATGGATGGATGGATGGAGATAGATATAGATAGGTAGATACAGTAGATAGATGGATGGACGGATAGACAGATAAAATACCATCTCTTGAGAGTGAAGCCCCCACCTCAACAAGAGATACGCCCGCCCTGAAGACTCGGTTTAGCCCGTGCCCAGAGGGATACGGAACCCATCAAGTGATTGATTTGATTGATGTCACTCAGGGTAGGTGAGTGTGATGGGGATAACGTTAATTTGGGATTTTATTTCCATAAGCCACCCGTAGTCACTCTGAGTGATTGATTGAGCAGTCATCTACATTTCCTTAATTTAAAATAAATAGGCCTGGTTGAGGGAGGGGGGTGCTCAGTTTGGTGGGGGGTGGGAGGAAGGTGTCAGTTCTGCAGAAGAGCATAAGCTACTTATTCAAGGGAGAATCTTGGGGGGGGCCGTGTCCCCTCCCTTGGCTCAGAAAAGCGACATTTCTATCTAAAATCCTACAGTCCTTCTAGTGCAGCTGACATCACCATCTCCATCCTCTTCCCGGTGGAAGCTGAGGGCTTTGGAAGTCCTCAAAGAGCTTGAAGGCCAGAGTTAAGGTTCTGGAGAAGATCTCCTGGCTGGATTGGCCAAGATGGAGGGACCTTCCTCTCTCCTCTGGATTTTCTGCCAGTGGAAAAAATCAGAGCAGACACGCTTGGTTGCTTACAATCTTCTCCGTAGCACTTCCAGAACCGTGAATTGGATATGTCTAGTTGAATGAAGGAAGGATGTGGTGGCTCAGTGGCTAAGACGCTGAGCTTGTCGATTGAAAGACCGGCAGTTCAGCGGTTCGAATCCCTAGTGCCGCGTAACTGGGTGAGCTCCCTTTCCTTGTCCCAGCTTCTGCCAACCTAGCAGTTCGAAAGCAGGTAAAAAATGCAAGTGGAAAAATAGGGACCACCTTTGGTGGGAAGGGAACAGCGTTCTGTGCGCCTTCGGCATTGAATCATGCCGGCCACATGACCACGGAGACGTCTTCGGACAGCGCTGACTCTTCGGCTTTGAAACGGAGATGAGCATCGCCCCCTAGAGTCGGGAACGACTACCACATATGTGCGAGGGGAACCTTTACCTTTTTACCTTTTTAGTTGAATGAAAAGAAGGACCGGGGGTGACGTAATGGCAGTGGTCCAATTTCTGTGGGGCTGCCCCAAAGAAGAGGGAGTCAAGCTATTCTCCAAAGCACCTGAAGGCAGGACAAGAAGCAATGGATGGAAACTAACCAAGGAGAGAAGCAACCTGGAACGAAGTAGAAATTTCCTGACAGTGCAGACAATTAACCAGTGGAACTGCTTGCCACCAGAAGTTGTAGGTGCTCCATCACTGGAGGCCTTTAAGAAGAGAATGGACAACCATTTGTTTGAAATGGTATAGGGCCGTGATTGCGAACTTATGGCACGCGTGCCACAGGTGGCACGTGAAGCCATATTGGTGGACACGTGAGCTCAGCTCCAACACGCATACGCGTACCGTCCAGCTGATTTTTGGGCCTCCTGGGCCCACCGGAAGTCAGGAAACAGGCTCTCCGGAGGCCGGAAATGGCCCGTTTGCCGACTTCCGGTGGGACCGGAAGGCCCATTTTTCACTCTCCCCAGGCTCTAGACCCTTTCTAGGCTTCCGGAAGTTGGCAAATGGGCCATTTCCGGCCTCTGGAAGGCCTCCAGGGGGGGTGGGGAAGGCTGCTTTCGCCCTTCCCAGGCTCCTAGAAAGGCTCTGGAGCCTGGGGAGAGTGAAAAACGGGCCCACCGGGCCATCACGTGCCAAAAATGCAGGGAGCATGATAGGGTCACACACCCATGCACAGAGGGGCGGGGCACATAGAATTATGGGTGTGGGCATGTGCGCACACAACCCCCCCCTTCCCCCCCTCCCCACACTTTTGGGACGCGATGGCCAAAAGGTTAGCCATCACTGGTATAGGGTTTCCTGCCTGAGCAGGGGGTTGGACTAGAAGACCTCTAAGTTCCTTTCCAACTCTTGTTACGTACACCGTTATATCTAAACGCAGACACGATCTGAATTCTATCTTTATTATTATTATTTATTTATTTATTATTCCTATTTCTATGCCGCCCACTCTTCGAGGATTCTGGGCGGCTTACAACAATCGACAGTCTACTAAATAGCATATTGCCCCCCAACAATCTGGGTCCTCATTTTACCCACCTCGGAAGGATGGAAGGCTGAGTCAACCTTGAGCCTGGTGAGGTTTGATCCGCTGATCTGCTGAACTAGCAGTCAGCTGAAGTAGCTGCAGTACTGCACTCTAACCACTGCACCACCTCGGCTCTTTATTCTGGGCAAGAAATGAAGGCCGAGAGACAAGGGTCGGCTCCAGGCCTGAGCAAGAGGAGCCCGAAGGAAAGATCTGGAAGGTTGAGAAGAAGATTGTGCAGATGGGAATTTTGCAAGTCTAGGTGGCCCATGGCTCCCAATAGTTCGTTTAATGACCATTCAAAGTTACGACGGCCCTGGAAAATGTGACTTAGGACCATTTTTTTCACAGTTATGACCTTTGCAGCATCCCCATGATTAAAATTCAGACACAGAATAATAATAATAATAATAATAATAATAATTATTATTATTATTATTATTATTATTATTATTATTATTATTATTATTATTATTATTATTATTATTATTATTATTATTTTATTTCTATACCACCCTTCTCCCGAAGGACTCAGGGCGGTGTACAGCCAGTTTAAAAACACAAGATACAACAATAATTAAAATTAAAATAATTAAATAGATTTGGCTGATTTAAAACTCTAAAAATTAAAATACCCCAATTTAAAATTATTATATTGACAGCCCTGCCTGGCGGAGCAACAGGGTCTTCAGAGCTCAGCGAAACACCCGGAGGTCGGAGATCTTACGTATTTCTGGGGGCAGTTCATTCCACAGGGGCTCCCACAGAGAAGGCCCTCCCCCTGGGTGTCGCCAGCCGACATGACTTGGCTGATGGCACCCTGAGGAGACCCTCTCTGTGGGAGCGGACTGGTCGGTGGGAGGCTATTGGTGGCAGAAGGCGGCCTCGAAGGTACCCGGGTCCTATGCCATGGAGCGCTTT